TTTGTTTTCAATCTATGAGTTTGACTGTCCCTCTGGTATCTTTCGTCCCTCTTTAAGACAGAGTTTGGATTCGCATATCGGGTAATGCAAGCATAGCAGGAGACGATTACCCTGTCGGCGTATCCGGTCCAGTTCATCCTAACGTTGATGCTATTTCTTCCGTTTTGTTTGTTGTTTTGAATTGTTACTTCTTAATCGATAAACGAGATTTGAAAATTGGTAAACAACTTTCGCCATAATTTATCGTTCATAATTTGTGTAAATTAGCTTTCTTAAAGTTTTTTTGTATATTGTCTTTAAACCAATATATCTGGTTATGTTGATACTTTTAATAAACCACATGTTGATCAAAAGGAGGCGAAAGATACCAAAGGGACATTCAAACTCATAAGTCGCAAATAAACTGACAACGTCAAGGCTAAAAAAGAAAAAGACAAACGGACAAACAACAGTTTACAAAACACAACATAGAAAACTATGATCAACTTTTGTTCTTGTGATTTTAATCAACTCTGTTTGGAGTATAGTGTTTTGTTCTGTTGTTTTCATAAATAGAGTTTTGGAAATATATCTAAAATGTTAGCCTATAATTAGATTCTGTTTATCCTAAATACAAGTGAATGTTTTTTATGTTAATATGATGGGCAAGCTTTGTTTTGTTTTAAGAGGTAGTGTCAATTTTTTCTTTTTGAAATTACTTATTTCAAACCGGGGCCATTTCTATAAGGTCTTTCAATCGTTACACATTAGCAAAGGTTAATATGTGTACTTGGAAGAATAAGCATATAAAAGACAATTTTGATCAAATTATGATGGTTTTAAGATTCAATTTCATATTGTTTGACAAGTTATTGGTATTAAAAAAAATATATGCAAGGCTGACATTGTGATCAGAAAGCTTAAAAAACTTTGTATTATTTTTATTACAAAAATTACTTCATTTAGTGAAAGCAATCCTTTGATGCACAATTTTACAAAAAGATAAACAATTTGTAATATTGTATCAGATTTGTCTTCTACAGTGTGTCAATAATATTTTGAATTTATTTATGACGTATGTTGTTAAGACTCTTTTATTTTCAAATTCAAGTAAGTTTGGTGCTGATCTTATAAATGAAACAACTGAAGGGGAAATAATCTATCCCTTATTTGGACTTGATTTGGAAAATATCATTTTCTACGGTTGTTTCAGTTAAATATTCATGAAGCAGATGTGAAAAACGATCTATTTAACATCGATAATAAAATAGCCTCATTTCTATTTTACAGGTCCTCCACTTGCTAACATAAACCGGGATTTTTATATAATCGAGACTGGGAATAATGTTAATATAAGTTGTGTTATAAAAAATGTACCAGAAAGATCTAAAGAATCCATGTTTTGGAAAAAAGGATCAAATTATATCAATGATTATTACCACAAATATAATCCGATTCTTACTAAGAAGAATGTTAAACTTGGTGATGCAGGAATCTATTCGTGCCATGTTCGAAATGATTATGGTTCAGCAAATGACTCCACAGAATTGAAAGTTCTCTGTAAGTACAAATTCGATTGACTTTTTACTCTTCACTATCATTAAATAATTGTATATACTTGAGCGATACTACTATCATTATGTATGTATGAAAAATGGTTCCAGTCATTATCATATTTATCTATTGGTTATGACAACAATATCTCATTGATAGGTATTTTTTCTTATGAACAGCACTCGCATAAATTCTTCATTTTAAGATACACACATTTCATCTGTCGATCATGTGTATACGATTTTTTGGAAATTTTATAGACAGACGTTAAACTGTTAAATAACCACTCCATCTCATTCAAGAAATTATAAATAGTCCAACACAAAATGCATAAATATGTTGTACAGTCAGTTAAACCGTGGAGCATGCAAAATGTAGCTATTACAAACCAAACTACTGTATAATTGGTGGGAATCTAATTTGAATCATATACTTTGACTTAAATAAGTTAAATGCAGATGTATTATTGTCCACTGTAAAAGTAATAAAACAAATATCATACACAATCTTTTATCGATCTTTGTATCCTTATGAAAATGCTCACTATTTCATTTGATCAATAAATGCGCATATAATATTTAAAAACAGGTCGAATTATTTTTCAAACAGAATAGCATGTTTTGTTGTAGAGTCATACATTTAAATCTATCAAACAAATTGGTTTCTGTTGTGTGCTTTTGGTATCTTGACAATTGTATATGAATGTCTGATTGCTTTTTTCTTAACACCATTTAAAGTGTCCATTCTACCATTCATACCTAATTCCTTAATCGGATAATCAAAACTTATAAGTCGAATAGAGAACAACAAAATCAAGCCAAAACCGAAAACGACGAAAAGACAAGAAACAGTCTACAAAACGCTACATATTAACATAAAGACTGAGCAACACGAAACCCACACTCAACCGTATTAAGATCAGGTGTTCCCGTAGGATAAGCACATCCTGCTCACAATTTGCATTCGTCGTATTGTTTATGATAAGTAGAACTTCGGTTAAGTCTCATTCGGTGATGTCACAATTAAGGAATGATACAATATTTAAAAGTCCTTGTTAAATCAAAACAAACATTGTGAAGACGTTCCTGATTTGGTAAAAGCTTTTAAGCATATTATCGGGCTCTGTGAGTGTATATGTATTTATTAATCGGTCATGATATATTTGTTTCATATTAATTTTTCGTTTATAATATGTCATGATTTTACTGAATCTTTTAATTATTTACAGCTGCTTCAATTAAAGGACAGTCTCATGAAGTAACTGCAAATGCCTCGTATACCATACGTTGTGATGTGTCTGGTGGAGATCGAGTAATTTGGCGAAAGAATGATAAAAAACTGAAGTTAGACAATCATCAAATATATGCCGGGGGGAATGTAAATGATCCATCACTCGAAATTAAAAAAATCAGTCATTTAGACCGGGGAAATTTCACATGTGAAACATCTTACAGAAGTGTGACCGCGAAAAGTACAACAATACAGCTTTACGTCAAAGGTAGTTATATAATAAGCATTCTAATATCATGATTTGGTGTAAATACAAACTATGTCAAAACATGATTAAAAATAAGGCGGAACATGCCAAAGGAACATTCAAAACTAATATTTCGAAGTGGAACAGACAGTGCCATTTAATCTAGTATTTTGCACACTTAGCACGCATGCCGTTGCAAAAATTATAAAAAATATTATCGTTAATAATATTTATTCCATGTATGCTAGCTGCACAAAGATTAGTTGTTCAATATATTTCCCCTCAACATTCGGCTTGAATTAGAATTTCGTATCTTTTTAAAAGATGTTCATATATAAGTCGGTGAAGATTGAAAAGAATGTTTGTGTATTTATCAACATTAGTAGCGCCCAAAAATCAATTTTGCAGAAAACACTTAAATTTCTTAATTTTTCAGTATACAACGTCATTACTGAAGGTGTAGTAGTTACCATTGTTATTGCTTAACGTAATACAAATCGAAAATCATCAAGCAATCATGTTCTTTAACAGAAACACAGCTTTACGTTTTGAAATAATATAAATCTAATACACATGTTGAAGAGCGGATCAACCCAAACAAAGAAATCTACAAATGAATTCGAAGTAAAAGAGCAAAACATTCTGTAAATGACATGTGTATAGTCATACAACGTTCAATACAAACTAAACCCCCCAAAAAAGAATGAAACTATATATAAAATATTATACAATAATATTGACAGATAAATTGTTTCAATGTTCGCGCGATTCCATCAGTTTTACCTTGATTTGTATCTTCTAAATGAATTTATAAGATTTCAACATTGGTAAACTGCTATTGCCTTTAATTTGATTCAACTAGATAACTTTAAGTTTCTCAATGTTACTGTCGGAGTTTAGACACATCGCATCGCACTTCAAAAGCAGGTTGAGGAATTCCTGTACGATTGTTAGATACTGACATGTTCTCAGACATTCGTTATCAGACAATTTAGTTCAAGGTGGAAGGGTTTGGATTTCACCTTGCTACATAAGACAATTTCCAGTCATTTTATCTTTTTCTTATGTAATTGTTAATAAATTTTTATGATTTTACCCAACAATAAGGTGTTTATGATTTTTTCATCATCAATTAATATGAATAGGAAAATTATTGAACATATGTTGTTTTTTTTTACATTTTTTAACTTGACCGGATCTTTGTTGTTGAAGATAACTTATTTCGCACTTTAATCGCTTTAGTTCGATCTTATCTCTTATTTATGAATGGAAGAAGAAATGTTGTAGAACTTTTTTCAAGAAATATATTTTACTGAGAAATTATTCAAACTTGTTTACCCGGGATGAGGCCGCTTCAGGAATTTGATTTCAAAAATCAAATAAACCGAGTTTCACCTTGGTACATATTTTGTTTTTGTCACGCAGTTTTTCAATAGTGTTTGACCAGGTTTATTACTCTCATGAAAATGAGTTCAAAATCAATATAATTAAACTTGTGTATAATTGAGGCGAAAGATATCAAAGTCATATGCAAACTCATCAGTCGAAAACAAACTGACAAAACCATGGCACAAAACAACAAAAAAGATCAAAAAGAAAACAACACTTTTCAAAGCACACCATAGAAAACTGAAGACTGAGCAACACAAACAACACCAAAACTGAGGACGATTTCCGATGCAATGATTACAATGTGTTCAAGTTATTTTGTTAGACATATACAAGATTTTTAATGAAGAATCCGTTGAAGAATCCGTCGCAGACAAATATAAAAAAAAATCAAAAAGGGACACAAATTAGGATTGGTTTGCATTTTGATCGGAGTATAAAACTTTTCTTAAAGGTTACCATATCAAAAACATGATTAAACCGTTAAGAACCGTCATTATAAATATTTGACATTATTATTATTATTACTATTCGTCCTGCCTGGCGTAATCAGTATCATAATCAGTATGCTAAATTTTTTTTTTTTTTTTTTTTTAGATATTCCACTTGTTTTTTTGTCTAATCAAATAAAGAAGGTTATTAAAGGCAGTGATACAATGCTAGATTGTTCTTATGATTCATACCCAGAACCAACGAAGGTTTATTGGAAGAAGGATGACAACATCATTCAATCATCAGACACCTTCAGAACGAAATATAATGGCAGTTCAGTGGAAATACCTGTGCTAGTCATATATGGTACAACACAAAGTGATTCTGGAAATTATATCTGTGTTGTGGAAAATTCTGTCGGTACTGGACACAGCAAAACACTTCAACTTATAATTAGAGGTATATGCATTATATATTGTCGTATTGAAAATAATTCCAACAAAGGTTCAGTTAGCATTGCTCGTTAATGTTAACTTGTGCTCAATAATAATCCATCAGTAGCTCTTGATGATCAATTTTTGTTTTTACCAAAGAGATTAATAGCTACTGACAACTCAGATTATAAGCTTATCTGAATTTGATTCAAAAAGGATTTAACGTCTGAAAATTGCCTTACAGGATGAACATGACTGACATTTTCTTGTTCCATCAAATAAGATAATTGTCAAAAATATCTTTGTTGATGAAAAGAGGATAGATTGTGCGTAATGAAAATATCAGGTATGACAGAATTTACCTTGCAATGGAAGGAAATATCCGTTGTCATATGTGCTGTAGACATCGTTCAGACATAAGCAGACATCAGTCATGTACATAAGACACAGTTGCAATATTGTGTGTTTAACAATAAGTTTCAAAGATATCGAAATCAAACACACTGAAATTGTTCGTTAAAATTGATTAACCCTCATTTTTCTGAAAAGTATTCAATCTGAACGAAAAATTTTAGTCTTTATTCTTTTGGCATTTGAGTAATTTTACTATTATATTATTTGTTTGTGCGTTTTTCTGTGATGAATGTTCTTGCGTGTCTTTGTGTTGTATTTCTTTCACGTAGTGTTGTCATTTTAGCGTTTTAATTTTTTTTAACATTGTCATAAAGCGGGAGGTTTGGCATGCCATTAAACCAGGTTCAACCCATCATTTTTTCTTAAAATGTCCTGTACCAAGTCAGGAATATGGCAGTTGTTATCAAATAGTTCGTTTCTATGTATGTTGGCTTTAATATGCATAAAATAGTTGCCACTAGACATTAAGCAAAAATCAATCATTAAATCATTTTTTCAACTGCAATATAATGCTTTTTTTTCTATAAGTTATATAACTAATTATTGTTTATTCAGAACCAGAAAAGAATGTATCAACAGCAGGAGCGATAGTTGGTGGTGTATTCGCAACTTTAATTGCTATATTGGTTCTAATTGGTTTGGTTGTCTTGTTTCGGAGGTATGTTATTTCTATTATTAACTGTATTTTATTGATAATCCTATATATTATCGTTTTTTGTTTTAAATACTAACCGCTATGTGTTACATGTTACAGTCATGATGTAGTGTGAAACATATATGTACATCTCACAGGGCCTATTTTTAATTTGAAATCTAGAATATTTCCATGAGTATATATAATAGAATAGAGAATGAAAACGGAGAAAGTGTCTCCAAGAGACAACATCCTAATCAAAAAGCGGAAAAAAAACCCAAGGCCAACAACGCATCGAGAAAATCCTGCACCCAGAGGTGGGACTCTAAAACAATACTATATAAAAGTTTACATTTTTTTATTTTTTGGTGCAATATAATAATGTTGATTGTTTGAAATAATCTTGCAAAACTGTTTTTCAACGAAATTTCAACGTGATATTGATGGTTAAAAGAGGTATATGATAGAAATATTTTCCAATGAGCAAAAACACTATTAAATACAACTTATCCTGCTGGTCTCATTATCGAGTTTTAGTAACCCTGACTCTGATCTTACTGAGTGATCAAGTTTAAGCATGACGATATTTTAGTGATTTGATCTTAATAGCCAGAATATACTCCTTGTGTAGTTTAGTATAAGCGAAAAAAAGTAGAGGCGAAAGATAGAAAATGGACATTCAAACGCATTGGTCGAAAACAAACTAACAATGTCATGGCTAAAACGTAAAATGATCAAAAGACAACCAACACTTTACAAAACATAACATAGAAAACCAAAGACTGCTCAACACGAACTCCCACAAAAACCCTGGATGACTCCAGGTGCTCCGGAAGGGTAAGCAAATTCTGATACACATGTCAGACACGTTGTGTTGCTCATGTAAGTACAAACCCGGTGGTGAGTCTAATTCGGTAGGTCACATTCGGGGAAAAAGGACAGGATTGTAGTGACGACAATTGGAATATTTCCGTCGTCATCTATGAAACAGATATACAATAGCGGTCAACGTACTTGTGATGGCGTCTGTAAAATTTTGATTTCAACTTCAGCACTTAGAACTTTCTTCTTGCAAGAATTTGATCACCACTCAGGAAGATCAGAGTCAGTAAAAAGCAAGCGTAAATGAAACTTGCAGGATAATTTGTATTTATTAGTGTTTTAGCTCATTGGAACATATCTATCTCATTTTCTTTTACAAACCATCAATAAGACACACTGTCTTTAAAAAACGATTTTGCAGGAGGGGCTGATGATTTATTTTGAGCATTGACGATACATATATATTTATAAATTGCATGCATTTCAGTCTTTATTTCATTTTAAAAAACATACATTTAAAATCAACAATCAATGCTGTTATTGCAGCAAAAAATATAAAAAAGTAAACTATTATAAATTAATTTAAAAAAAGTTGTTTATAAATCAAGTCGTTTTCAATTATGTTCAATGTTTTAGATTCCTCATTTTGTTCCAATAAGTTAAATATATTATCAATGAATGGATTTTTTTTTCTACAGACGTTCCAACAATGTGAACAACGGAAAACCGTTACGACAAGAAACAATAAGTAATGCAGAAAATGTTGAATTGTTCACCGACGGTGAGTTTATTCTTTCTACAAATTTCAGGTACTGGTTTAATGTAAGAAAAAAAAAGATGATGCCATTAAAGATACTACATTATTAGAAGATCTACTTCAAAACTGAATCCTTTAAGTAACGAAGATGAATTCAAACCATGATCTATCACAAATCTGACGATTACCATTTTCCCAAATGTTATTTTCCCATTTCTTATTTTTAACATGCACTTCAGATCAAAAGAAATGTTTTTGCAACCTTAGTCCTTCGGACACAGGATTAGTAGATATGATATTAAACCATTAAGTTATATTTCCTATCGTATTTTTTTGGGGGTTCGCCTGGCGGCATTGCAGAGGACGCTTTCCCTGGCAACGTACAGCTTTCTTTCTTATGCTGTAAATGCTATGTCCTGAGGTAAATATCATACTTAATTATTGCAAATGGTTCTTATGAATGTTGACAATAGGAAATAAATTAATAGTGCTACTCTATCTGTTTTCGCCAATCTCCGTTATGGCAAATGGTATTTCCCTAATGTCTATATTTTGTCTATGAGGCAATAAGGGGGTTAAAATAGGAGATTATGAAAAAAATTGTTACAAAATAATATGAAATGTTGTAAAAACTATATCTGACTGACATTAAAGTGACAATTATTCTGCTTTGGAGTTATATGATAGTATTTATTCTTATAATAGTATAAATGCACAGAAATTGTCCTGTATTTCCATCTTTTCTACATAAAGATGGTCCTTATATTTATTTTAGTACGACATAATCTTAAAAGTAAACAAATTGAATAACCTTATTTATAAAAACTAAAATTTTAAGGCGAGACTAGAACAGCATCAAACTGTATCAAAAACAAATTACCAAGGACTCCATCACAAATAAGAACACACTGACCTTCATTGGTTATCATAGGTACATTGTCAGCATCTTTGCGCATGTTCATTGACTTTTCATATGGTAATATTTTGGCGAAATTTTCTAATTGTATCTGATTTTGAATTTTTTCTTTGTCATTGTTTATTTATGTATTGTACCTAGTGTAATTCCGTTGATTTTAAATCCTATTAAATCAATCAATATAAACTTAGACTGAGGAATGCCAACTCAACACTAGATATTTTGTACAAAATCAAGACAAGACTATTCGAGTCCATCGCAGCTCATTATAATAAAAAAAATTGACTCTCATTTAAATCGCTGTAAATATTTTATATTCGAGCTTGGTCTTTCAATTTGTATGTAATAAACCAAATATGTTTTACATGTTAAACTATGGTATATGCAAATGAATATGTTCAGATATATGGAACTAAAATGTATTTATCGCAGGAATTAACATTTTTTTTCTATGGGCAATTGATTTGTAAAGTCGGCCGACAAACTCACACAAACTGACTAATTTTCAGAGCGCATTTATGAACCTATTGTGAGTAAGCAACCCCGTTTACATAAAAACTATCCTGAGACAAAATGTGTTTAAGCATACTAATTTTCAACCTAAACATTCGGTATCTTTTGTTCTTCATTTTTATCTTTCTTGAGACTTAGGATTTCCATTCATGTGTATCGCGCATGAATATATCACGTCAAAATCGACATAGAATGTAAACAGGTTACGAAATTAGTTTCGGCAACATGGTCTATCAAAGTGTTTACCAATGGAATTCTAACGGACGAATCACGTTCAAGTATTTGTAAGTGTTCCAAGTAATACGGGTTTTGAAAAATCTACTTTCGTTTTTTATGGAATTAAAAACTGGAATGCTTTCCCAGATCAGGTAGAATGTCTGTTTGTATTGTTCACACATTGTTGTCAATATAATGAAATTTTATGCGACTGTCATACAAGTAAGAGGTTAAGCTAGCTATAAAACCAGGTTCAATCCACCATTTTCTACATCAGAAAATGCCTGTACCAAGTCAGGAATATGACAGTTGTTATTCATTCGTTTGATGTGTTTGAGCTTTTGATTTTGCAATTTGATAAGGAACTTTCCGTTTTGAATTTTCCTCGGAGTTCGGTATTTTTGTTATTTTACTTTTTAATGTCAATTCGAAATCAAAATTTAAATTTTAAGTAAGAAGAAAAAAGCTAACGTGTAATATGAGGTCAAAGTCAGATGCAGATTTTAAATTTTATTAGATTATTTTTCCATATGAAAGTTTTGAGCTGTGATTCATATATACTATTTTTTGTTATATAACTGAATGATAAATGATTTATTTTACTATATACAATATAAGGACTCCAATGGATATAAGCTTTTTTGATTCCATGAGTCATCCTTGGATAAAGGCATTATGTATACCAATATATAATAGCTATAATCACATCCAGTTCTATATATTCAGTTTTTATTTCGCTATATTTCCAAATCTAATTTGCATATATTGCCTTTACCTGAAAAAAAAAATATTGGTATGCAAATCATACGAGAAATATACAGTTTTTACTTGTGCAGACAAAAAAAAATGTTGAAAAATAATGTCTTACAATAATGAAACGCGTTATGTAAACTACAGACACGATAACCCATTTGTAGGGCGTGGTAACAGGGACAATGGATTGTATTTAAATGTTGCCAGAGTGTCTACTTCTCCTGCAGAGAACATAAAGCCATCCACAGTTCAAATATTAACAGGAGATAATGAATATTATAACTTATCAGATGTACCAAGTTCGTGTATCAGGGTGGAAGGCTTAAAACAGTATATTGAGAAAAGACAAAGAAACGAGGAACTTAAAAATGAATATAAGGTAATTAGCATCAATACTTTTCAAATTCGATCTTTATCAGGCCTTTTTAACTTTGTGATTCGAGCGTCACTAATGAGTCTTTTGTAGACGAAAAGCTCGTCTAGCGTACAGAAATTTAAGCCTGGTATCTATGATGAGTTTATTTAGCATGACAGTTAACTCCATGATGATAACTACTAATATAACATGACGATTACACAAACATATATCGATAAATGTATCAAGACCCATTGGTTCCGTTGGTTGATATAGTCTGACGTTTGATTTTTTGTAGGTTTAATACACTTCCCCCTTTTCGAATTTATCGTGGGGTTCGGTATTTTTGTTAATACTTTTGTATAGGTATAGCCATTCTTCCTACTCACTGCCTTTGATTCGACCGCCATTGATGAGTCTTATATAGACGAAAAGCGCATCTTATATACCGAAAAAATTGTAGGCCTGGTACCTTTAAACTTTTTTACTTATATATGTAGTGAACAATTGTTATACAATCAAATGAATAACAAATGCAATACAATATACAGGACTAAACAGAATATATAGAACCATTATAATTAACGTCTTTTGTTGGAGTTGATGACACAGGTTTATCAATATTTAGTAAATGTTTTCCTCCAACAATTAGTGATAAAATTATTCTACAAAAATTCTGTAAAAAAGTTAATTACACTATATTTCCTTGTTTTTAAAACACAAATATATTTTTTCGTAGTGGTAAACTAAGTGGTATCGTAATACCCATGCCAATTGGTCATTAGGTTGAGTTTCCTTTTTGATTATAAATTAAATAGACAATGCTTATATTTTCTCTTCTTTATTTCATAAGAGCATACCAAATGTAGCGGTACATCCGACAACGCATGCCCAAACAAAGGAAAATATGCCAAAGAACAGATTTAAAACAACATTTCCATGTATGTAAAATTATTTTAGTAAGGTAAAGTGGGGTCGACACAGTTTTACTTTACATCTTTACATATTTATTTAAAGATTCGCATGATTTATTTGAAAAATCTGGAAATGGAATATAAGCTACCTTGCTCGAGAGCAAATAGGGATCAGAATTGAATACTGAATACTTTTGTTAATGTCAGGGATTTTTGTTTTACAATTTTTAATGTATTTAAATGTTTTCCGCCAAAAAAAACAGCCGAAATGGTTTGATATCGAGAATTAATATAATCGTGCATAACATGATCACTGTTTACTTCTTTTCCGTTCCAGCGGACAACAATTGTCCGAGTGAATATCTACCTGTAGCCTGTTTCTGTTTATGAATGTTTTATTAGCTATGTCAAAATTTAATACACTCAAGTAAATCGAACTTTCGGACTCTTGTCTATACTACATCATAGAAGAAAAATATTGTTGTGAAAAAAGATATTGCATAAAGAATGACTTATTCATGTTAAAAATGCACATTGTAGATGATCACACTCGAGTCATACTGAACTCCAATGGAGGATCTGATTATATTAATGCCAACTACGTCGATGTAAGTAGCGTTCGACACTTGAAGGGGAAATTAAATGTATCCTTTACTTTTGTAAAAAGAATGAAGCTTTAGTTAGACTCTTTTTAAAAGGGAAATTACATGTATCCTTTACTTTTGTTACAATAATGAAGCTTTAGTTGGACTCTTTTCAAAGGGGCAATTAAATGTATCCTTTACTTTTGTAATAAGTATTAAGCTTAAGGTTAGACTCTTTTTGAAAGGTAAATTAAATGTATCCTTTACTTTTGTAACAAGTATTAAGCTTTAGGTTAGACTCTTTTTAAAAGAGTAATTATATATATCCTTTTCTTTTGTTACAAGTATAACACTTTAGATTAGACTCTTTTTGAAAGTGAAATTAAATTTATCTATTTCTTTTCTTACAAGAATGACACCTTAGTTTAGACTCTTTTTGAAAGGGAAATTAAATTTATCCATTTCTTTTGTTACAAGTATGACACTTTAGGTTAGACTCTTTTTGAAAGTGAAATTAAATGTATCCTCTACTTTTGTAACAAGTATTAAGCTTTAGGTAAGACTCTTTTTAAAAGAGTAATTAAATATATCCATTTCTTTTGTTACAAGTATAACACTTTAGGTTAGACTCTTTTTGAAAGTGAAATTAAATATATCCTTTACTTTGGAACAAGTATTAAGCTTTAGGTTAGACTCTTTTTGAAAGGGAAATTAAATGTATCCTTTACTTTGGAACAAGTATTAAGCTTTAGGTTATTCGTTTCCTTTCTTACAAGTATGACACCTTAGGTTAGACTCTTTTTAAAAGAGTAATTAAATATATCCATTTATTTTCGTTACAAGTATGATACTTTAGATTAGACTCTTTTTAAAAGATTAATAAAATGTATCCTTTACTTTTGTAACAAATGTGAAGCTTTAATAGTATGATTTTTAAGTTAAAAAAAAACAGGGTCTTGTTAATATAATATTCCTTTTTAAAGAAAAATCGGTCGATCGTTTTTTTTCCTTTACCTGTTTCACAGTATTTTCGATTTTCGATTGATAATTAGAAAAACATAAAAATGAATTTGATTAATTACTACTATATAAAAATATGTTTGACTTTCTTTCAGGGTTTTGAAAAGGAAAAATGCTATATTGCGTGTCAAGGTAAACAATGTTGATAAATTCAAATTCAAGAAAGATGATATATATTCACAATTCCAATAATACTTGATTATGAAACAAACAAATACAACAACTCATCTACGTCTGAGTGGTACACAGTTAAATTCATATTGAATAACAAAAAGTAAAACAACTAAAATACCGAACTCCAAGGAAAATTTTAAACGGATAGTCCCTTTTCAAATGGCAAAATCAAAAGCTCAAACACATCAAACGAATGGAAAACAACTGTCATATTCCTGTCATGGTACATGCATTTCCTTATGTTGAAATGGTGGATTGAACAAAAGATAGAAATATGGTCACAACAGGTCTTCTTCCGACCGGCAGTAAAACCCTTGTCAAAATTCGGCGTCCGCTCGGATGTGTGGGATGTACACGTATGCAGCCATGTCCGGTCAGAATTGGGACATTAAATCCAATGCCTCGAATAGAGAGAGTGCCGTGCTCTCTGTACGTTAAACTGTACTCTTTAAGGGGTCAGTATGTGGCATGTTGCAAGGCAAAGTTTATCTTCATATCTATCAAATTTATCCTCATTTAACCGATAATTGTCCGTCTAAATGTTTAGAAGAAATCAAACAATTTTACTTAGTTATAACGTCTCCCCTTGTACAAACAAATACACATCACATTGATTAAAACAATTTCAAATATATACAAGCCATTCACACAGAACAACGAGAGACAATTATTTACAGATAAAAAAGAAATAACTCAAAAGAATTAGAACCATTTAAGGGGAAAAAGACAAAACAATTATCTGCATGTTTATTAAAAAAACTTTATGACGTCTATCTTAGATTTCACTGTAGGGGTTGGCACACAAACGGATACTGCTTACTACAGCTAGAATCACAAATCGTTTATCTTGACCAAAACAATTATTCAAACATCATAATCTAAGTAATCAAAACAATTGTCTCAGACCTATCGGCTGACGCGATAGGACATCATTATGATTTCTTTTGATTTTCAGGTCCAATCAAAACTACAGTGGCAGATCACTGGAAAATGATATGGCAGGAAAATATTTATCAAATTGTAATGTTGACAAACTTGGTGGAAGGTATTAAGGTAAAAAAAACTAATGTAAACAAATAAACAAGCTGAAAAAATAATACACAATCATTACATGATAGACGAAAGTTACAAAAGAATTTTCAAACCCATAAGTCGAAAACAAACTGACAATGCTATGGCATAAAAAACGATCGAAAGACAAACAACAGTATACATTACGCGACTTAGAAACCTGAACACTGAGCAACGCGAACCCCACTAAAAACCAGGTAGGGGGACTGCTCATGTGAATTGAAATGAGATCCTGCACCACATGTGGCACCCGTTGCGTTCCTTATATGTGTACAGACCCGGTGATAAGTTGTATTCGGAAGCACACGATCGAGAAAGAGGACAGGATCGTGACTACGATAATTGGATCATATCCGTCGTCACATATATCACAAATATTCCATAACGGTCAAACAACTCGTGACGGAGTCCGTTAACCTTTCTAAGCGATAATTCAAACATCACCATTTGAAACTTAATAGCTTAATTTGGTTTAATAGTTCCCTCGTAAGTAGCAACCCTCTATCATGGAAATCACGATCGCTATAAAATCTCTGGAATATTATGTCAACTAGGAGATATATAATCCGTAGGCAGGCGCTGCTGGAATGTTGCTACACAGAAATGGAAATTCACAATTAAGAAGTTGTGAATCAACACTTGTGTCTCTCTCGACACTCAATGTCAACTTCTATATGTAAGTCAAAATATGAGGCAGAACTATCTCAACTTAATTGGTAAGGTTAGCTTGAAAAAAAAAATTACTTTCCAATGCTTTATAGATATGAAATAAAACGGTATTTTCAAAAGACAATTACTGGCATATATCCATCATGTCCAATTTGTATATGATGAATGTTACATTTTACTAAAAGAAAATACATCTGTTAATTTCTTCATGAATAGAATAAGTGTGAACAATACTGGCCTAGTGGTGGTAAACAAATGGTACATGGAAATTTGAGTCTCCGTCTAAATGATGAAAAAGAAAGAACAGCATATGTCACAAGAGAAATAACAATTGAAGACAAAAAGGTACTTTATAGTACATTATTTATTGGACGTCAATTAACAATAAAATGTTGCAGATGGTTAGACTTTCTTGGTCAATTCCTCCTGCTGTTTTTATGTTTGTTGTAAGCTTTCCAGAGTACGTTAGAAACTTGTCTACATAATTGATGTACTGAACCCAAAAGCAAATGCAGAAAATGACCAAGTTCCAACAGAGAGTTTGATTATTATAGGTTTCATAACGAGTGAGAATGGAACATCGCTTGATATCAACTCGAGTTATTTAATTTCAATATAATAATAAACGAGCCTTCGGCGAGTTTATTATTACTATTTAAATTAAAAAACGAGAGTTGATATCAGGCGATATCCCATTCTCACAAGTTGTTTAACCTATTTCTCTTATGGTCAACACTCTCATTGTGTTTTATTAAAAATTCCACGAATCGTTGATCTAGTCTTTTGCACATTCCAGTATGACGTCATATGTCCTTTTTCGGTGTCAAACTTTAACATCAGACATTTTAAGACTTTTTGTACGCTTCAGAATGTAATAGAATTTGACAAAAAGAAGATTGTCCGGTGAAAAATATGAGTGTTTTGTATATTATTGAAGAAATCACATATGTCCGTTGCCTTTGAAATTCATCAATGACCTAACGAATAGCCAATGGAAATGCTGTAATATCGTCTTATGATGCTGGATAACCCAATCAGATTAACGCAGATTTTTGTATCACTTTTTCGTATCACGCTCCGTGCAGTGTGATACGATAACTATCTATTCATGCAAGAAATAGATAACAGGCCACGACCATTAAAGAAAAGCATGTATCTAGTCTATGTCCTTATTTAAAATCAAAATGTTCTATTTATAAACATCTTGTGGATGATTTTCAATTACAGTTCTTTTGACAAAAAGCTTATCTCTACAATGTGTTAAACTAAGTATAGACTTCATTCACACAAGCTGAATATTGAATACGGTAGATTCATTCAAAGAGCAAGAAGTGAAATATCTATGTATATGTATTCTATGTAATTATGGTGTTAATGGATAGTAATTTCGTTTTTGTTTTAAAAGGTCCAGAAAATGACAACATAAGAAAATTGTAAATTAAAAAGTTAACAAATGCATCTGTTTTAAATACTTAAGTTAATTTCAACCCAAAATCTTAAGAAATTGTCCAATAATCAAAAAACAAAATCATGACAATCCATCGTATTATTTATACTTTGTAGTCTTGCCTCTTATTTTTTTCAAAATGTTATGTTATGCAGTACATGTATGTATTTCTAAAATAGCTATAAGTTGTAATACTTTTGGTTTGAAATAAACTGTTCTAAAACATTATCAATATGAAAAAATAAGGAGATGTGGCATGATTGCCATTAGAACAACTATCCACCAAAGTTCAAATGAAGTGAATAAATGAAAATCATACGACCTTCAACAATGACAAATATAAAAGAAACATTTTGAAAAATAAGAAAAAATTATATCTGACATACTAAAGTCTTATGAACATTTGAAAGAAGCTATTTAAAGATAAATATAATTAGATTTGCTTGTATGCCTGGTGGAACAAATCAGCATTGTCCTGTTATTACTGTTAATGTGAGCGTTAGCTAATCAAATTATATTTTTCTCTTCCTCCTGAATATGAGTGAGATATGTGATACTGGACGTAAAGTAAAAAAAAACATTATAAAGAGAAGGCCTAGAGATGTCGTATAATTGCAAATGCGATAAGTATCAACCAGAGTTTAAATGACGTGGATATGCAAATAAAGGTCGCCCTACAACCTTCAGAAACGACAAAAAAAACCAAACCGTATAGTAAGATATAAAAGGCGCCGACATGAAAATGTGAAACAATACAAACGAGGAAACAGCAGCCTATAGCTAATATCAAGACTCAATTACCCGATTTTCTGTAGGAAGAACGATAAATTTCATTCCATTTCTTTAAATTTTAATCCTAAAGCAAGGTTTTAGCATGATCTATATGATCTATATACGTATGTCGCCTGTATATTTTTCTCCACTGGGAAACAAGAAATTCGTTGTTACCTTCACAAAACCAACAGAAATATAAATACTAGCCATCAAACAGATAATGGACTAATATAAAACATACACTGAACTCAATATGACAAAATTATGTCTTTATTTTACAGTAAATAATGTATAATAAGTTTAGATATTGCCACTGGAAATACGGTTATAGGGAAAGATGCATAAATTGAGCCGAGCAACAGGCCAACTATTCCAATCAAAATGTTGTTGCAATAAGTCTATAATGTAAACGTCTCTATTTTGAAAGCAGGAGCCTAAATATGAATATATCCTGCACAGCCAAACTGACGCCTCTCTTGTTGCTGCTGCATAGGAGGAGTCTATGTGACCATACACCTCAACCATGCCAACCCTTGGTGATTCAAAGACTTGAATTTGGGCAAAGGTTGTTACTTCCGCAAGCATTTTTTTATTATTCAGGAAGTTTGTTATGTTTAGGCAATATAGTGTTGTTATGTTGTCAAAAATTTTCCTTGTTTTGGCTACCCGCAATTCTAGCTTAAAATGGACAGTATAAAAAGTACATGTATTTCAAACATGTTTTATATCAATACGTAACGTTTAATACAATTTATTTCCATTCTCCAGACTAACAAAAAGCGTAAGGTGACGCAATACCATTTCACAGCTTGGCCAGATCATGGAACTCCAGATCCATTGTATCTTGTACTGTTTCACAGACATGTGATGTCTGATACGAAAGCTGGACATTCAGGACCTTTGTTGGTGCATTGCAGGTAAAATTGTCAAAACTTTTTTCAGTAATTTGATACTAGTATATATCAATAAGTGTTTACATAATTACCTTCAAAATATGTATGAATATAGGGTAAAGTAATTAAGACAGCTACCCTGTCACGAAATAGAATTTCCTTCATAATATAAGTTCCTAATGGAATAAATATTACAGTATATGTTCCTAACGGAATACATGGTATAGAATATTTGTTCAATTAGGAACAGATATTATGACATTGTTTATAACAAAGTTTCCAGTGGAACTTCTGTTAGGTGGAACAAATATACGTTGACAACCCAACAACACAAAACACAAAAAAGATCATGAGGTTAACATCATTATACACTAATTTACTGGCTATAAGTATATTGTACCTCGAGAAATAAACTGTTTCACGATGAGACATTATAGCTATTGTTCGAATAGCCAATAAAGAAGTGTTTGATTATACAAATGAAGCGGGTACAAAATGAAGAAAACGTTCTTGAAAAGCTAGCTGTCAACAGTTGAAGACGCCTAAATACTAATATGCGTGTCTCCTTTCATTCTTATGGTTTGTTTTGTTGATTTTTTTTCAGCGCTGGTATTGGAAGAACTGGGACATATATTGCCCTTGATGCTCTGTTTGAGGAAGGTCGTACTACAGAATTTCTTGACATTTTCAAATTTCTGAAGAAAATGAGATACAGCCGGATGAATATGATTCAAACTCCGGTAAAAACTGATAAAATTTAAAAGAAGTAGATCATAATTTCGTTAACATCAAATGTCATGCAAGGCAATATAAAGTTTGGTTTACAAGAAGGGGGTGTGCATAGTCAACCAGGGAAAACGCGTGTCCTTGATAGCCAGGTTTTAATCCTAAGTTCATTCAAACTTTCATTGTATTATTATTCTTGTAAACAATGATCGAATGATAAAATATTTATTTCTTTCCACTGTTAGATTCTGACTAATTTTAAATAGAAACTTGTTACTTATCATGAGTTGTTAGTTTAAATATAGAATCATATAGAATATATTTCGTTGTAGATAATTTTTCTGATCTAAAACAATAATAATGACTTTTCGAACAATATGTTTAAAAGCATTCAAAATCTTTCAAAAATAATTTACTCTATAGAGGTTTGGAATGGCTATATTTACATACACTCTCCACAAAAACCACGGCAACGCTGTGCGTTCTATTTCCTGGGATTATATTGCACCGTGTGCTATAAGATATAATTACTAAGAGTAGTGCATATTTCAACTGATTTTGTGTCACATCAGAGCTATTTTCCAAATGTCTATTTATCTTTACTTAATCTCAAAGTAACACAACCAAACTTGTTGACCTTGTGTCTGTGTTTTTCTTACTTGTTTTTCTACTTTGTATCGATCTGATGAGTTTAGTCCTTATTAACTGAATTTTATAGGTTTGTTCATTTGTTGCACTGTTACGCCACTATCCCAGTCAGGGTGGGGGACGCTAACATTTTTAACCCCGCCACATTCTGTATGTGCCTGTTCTAAGTCAAGAGCCTGTAATTCAGTGGTTGTCGTCCGTTGCTGTATATCATATTTGTATTACGTTCATTGTTTGTACATAAATTAGGTCTTTATTTTTATTGTTTGCATTGTTTAACTTATGTCATTTCGGTGCCTTTTATAGCTGACTATGCGGTATGGGATTTTCATATTGTTGAAGGCTGTACGGTAAAGTATAGTTGCTAACTTTTATATATGCCATTTGGTCTCTGGTGGAGAGTTGTCACATTGGAAATCATACCACACCTTTTTTATATTTAAGATTTTAACAATGATTGTTTTAAAAATTCTAAACAAATCACCTATTCATAAAAGCCACAAGATAGCCATAAAATCACAATGTTGACAGAAATTGGCAAATTTTGAGTCTTTATCCCAAGTATATAAGACGGAAATCGTAAACCAAAACCAAAATTCTGTTTGATAAAAAGTTATTTATTGTCTTTAGGATAAAAATTATTACATTGTAGTCCTTCGATGCAAAATGGGACAAAATAATGTACAATTTGGAATTTTGCATCAATACGCCTTAAACAGCAACATGAAGTGCTGAATAACATTTTGATTTAATGAAAAAAATGTGACATTGTTACAAATGTATTGAACATATACGATAAAGACTAAAAAAATAGTTCTATTTCCAGTCCAGTAGGATTGGAATAGATTTAACCGTGTGTGAAACAAATACAGGGATTATTGACATTACTTCTTTACTTACACATGTAGCTTAAAAACAGTATGAATTTTTCACAACATAAGGATATAATAAATGGTATTGAACACAAAGTTCACACAGCTTTACACAAAGAAAATGAATAAATATATGCCAAACCAACCATAAACAAGGTTAGAATGCAATACCAAATTTGTGTATTGCTCGTGACAGTAAAACACATGTCGATATAAACTAAGTCACTTCGAATGACATGTCAAACACGAACAAAGTCGGACAGGATTGTGACTTACAGCAGATGCAATATTTCTGACAAAAAACTTGACAACATTTGACACATCAACGGATTGAACGAATGAGAGATGGTTTACAATGTTCCAGGTATGTTTAACAAAGGCTTATAAAAACATGCTGTCTTTTTTGTCATAACAGGATCAGTACGTATGTTTGCACTATGCCCTTCTTCAAGCTTTCACTATGAAAGAAACAAAAATTCGTAAAGACGTGTTCAGTGAAGTGTGGACGAGTATATTGACAGATAAGAGACCGGTCAATCATCAAAGACTGGACAAAGAATTCAAGGTACAAAGATAACAATTTAAGAAATCAACATTTTATTTGACATGTATTTAGACGCACAATCAAGTAAGTAATTACAGTTTGTGGTTTATGAAGTAAATTAAAAGAAAATATTGGATATATGTAAATGAGACTATAACCCAACGACGAAAATTATATGAACCTAACAGGAAATAGACTATCAAGACTTGGTAATCATACCACATCTTCTTATTTTTATATTTGAACATGCCCTATCAAAACTTCCGATTTGTATAGTAGTTATTGAAAGAATGGATACATTCTTAGACTGACATTTAATAAAACGTTTTAAATAATAATATCAAAGTAACCAAATTACCAGGAAGGGCCCAAATTGCACCCATTTTGCCAAAACAGTAGTAGAAATCTTATAGGTTTCTTTTGAGAGTAAACAATTCGTTTTTTTTAATAGATTGCAATTATGCACGTCATAGCTTAATAAAATAAAATATACACAAAGCGGCCACATTTACATCAACATATGAAGTGTCCAGTGAAATAGAATTACAGAAAACTATTAAAAATGAGAAATTAATATATGTCTCAGGCATTCATTTCATACCAAATGTACAGTTAGTACGGAATAATGTCAAATTGTTCTGGAAAATTGAAAAAATAAATAAAAACATCATCTCTTCGATTTTTATTGATGTAAAGTTAAGCTGTATGAAATTTAGGTACTCATCATTACAGAATCTTTGGTCGTATTGAGGTCGGTTCAAACCTATTTTTAATGGTTCAGTATGCATTCAAAATTAAATTTGTGAAACTTTTTAGTAAATAAGGATACATCTACAAAATAAACACAAAATGGAAACTTTTGTCTGTTTCTTAAAAAACAACAAGTAAAAAAACTGTCACAATATTTGCAATTTGGGTTTGAACGACTTGTCAACATCATTAAAGTTTGTAATAAAAAAATCGTATTTTTATACAGTGAAATCGTCTTATTTAACACATTTTTCTCGTATAGTTCATCTTATGGCTCATTATTTTTAATATGATGGACATCTGACAGAAAGTTGTTATTTATTTAAATTAAACGTTATTCAGGAACTGCAACAACATGTAAGAGAAATAAAGGGTCTATCAACCTCAGTAAGTAAGAACATCTCCTATAATATTATTTTGTGTTAGTGAAATGGGCTGTGCATCTGTTTTTTATGTTTATTTTTTATAATAAATAATCTCCGATTCTAAGTAAAGTTCAATGACCACCAGAAAAGGAAAAATGGTTGACAATTATGAAATTTAGGCATTTAGTAATTGAATTAATAGATAAATGTATTTTGTTTCTTTCTTACATGCATGCATATGTATCTTTATATTAAATGCATACTTTATTTCATATCATTTTATTTGCATTCTAACTCAGTTCATTGTTTCATTTTAATGTTAAGAAATCTCTGTTTGGCTAAAGTAACTTGGCTAAAGTTACGTTACCTCAATGAACAATGATTTTATTGGTTATGCTAAGTCTATACATACATCATTGCCATGTGATGATACTGCATGAAACAGAATGAACTTTGCTAGTTTACTTTGTTTTCTTTAACAGTAAAGCATGGTACATATTTTAAATAAAGTTATGATAAAGTTCAAATCAAAATAGATATGAAAAACATGTGTAATTAGTAAATAGTTTTGGAAGGCTTCAATTTCATATATTCTGCTTTGCTTTTCAATTATTGATGAAATAATTTTTTATCGGATTGAAATATGTCTTGTTTTTATAAAAACAATATTATTCACAGAACATAATTAGCATTTAGATTCTCCTTTAAAACTCACCATCTTTTAAGGAGAATAATTCTCAGACTACAAACGTAATGCGTTTAGTTTATGTGCTCTTTGATTGGAGAATCTCAACTTAATTCCTTTTCTTTGCAAAACATAATACCGCATTGTAAACATCGCTACTTCATTATGTGCATTGAGTAATATAAAAGTGATAACCAATCTTTTGAACACTTTAATATTTGCTGTTATTGTGAATTTCAGCTTCATAATATGTAACAATATCAAATGAAAATCATTCGCTTTAATCAAATATATTTGCTGCTGTTTCTTGTTGATTACATCAACAATGTGTATCCTATCTCATATTCATTTACTGAATTACCTATTAAGGTTGTTAATCCCCAGAGCGACGTTGACCACTAACTGTTTGTCAATTCCGGCCTTCTGTTTTTTGTGTGTTTTTTCTAATTTTTTGTTATTCTAGAAACACGGGTCGTGAGTGCACCAATAACAATCATACGTTTTTATAGTTTGTAAAATAGTCATTCAAATAATTTTTCCTTTAGATGCTAAATGCGAAGAAGGATGATCAGAACCAAAACCAATATAATGCTGCAATGAGTACAACAAACTTAGCGAAAAACAGAAACAAAGATGTTCTACCCAGTAAGTTGTCATGTCTTTTTTTTCCAAAGTATTTTAAATGCATATTCAATGGTAGAATAATTGGGTATCGAAATTTAGAGGAAAGCCTTTCAGAAAATATGACCGTTAATTCCAAAAAGAGATTCATAAAGAAGAAAAACTAATTTTAAGACAAGAGTGAGGTTTTTTTTCTCATTTGCATTTTTCCCGACAAATGAGACTGTAATAATGCGGGGCCCCTTAGTTGATTCCCTGGACAAATTAGGGTTGATGTAACAGGTGATAATTAATAAAATATGTTTAATTTTTTTTTTTAAATGTATATATAAGGGCTACCAAACGACACAACAAAACTTTATGACACATACGTACTTCACCTTCAACATAATTTCAATTTATATAGAATACGTTGATAATCATAATAAATACGTATTAAAGTAGAGTATTTTTTCAATATATCTTGCATAAACAAATATCATATTTCCATTTACAAACCTGTTCGTGCATTTTTCATTGTTATTCAACGCAAAATAATTATCTAAGATACCTGGAACATCTCATTTCATAAAGGATCTCTTTTGTTTACTTATTGTACCTCGAACTTATTAACCTAGTGTAGGTCTTTAAGTTGAGGTTCAATTTACTAAAAGTATATCGGGCATGACTAATTAGGTACACCATCTTAGAATCAGGGGGTCCAAAATAGGATCGGGAAAAAACAGCAAGCGAAATACCATAATTTACAATTTCCGAGAATCAAAGTACTAGTAGTTGATTTAATATCTCCGGTCAATAATCAGACGGTATTTTGAGTGTAAACCTGTCCGAAACCGGGAAATGTTGGCTGCAATAGGGATTTATTTACAAAATAAGTCCATATCTCATTTACTTATATTGGCCGTTATTGATTGTAAATTCATGTCGTTTTGTTTTTTGGCATTCGTTTACCGTGAGAAAAAATAGGGGGGAGGAGGGGTTAATAGCTTAACGATTTTGATCATGGTTCAACTTTATTCTAGTACGGCATACGTTTTTCCTCTAGCCAACGCTCTATCTTATTAAAGTGTCACTCTAAAATTGTTATCATTTGCTACAGGTCGATCCATTTTGCATCTCGTCGTGAATATGCATGACATATTTGCCACTGGACATTAAGGGAGCAATCAATTAATCAGCTTCATTTAATGATGTATAATCAGTAGTCTTCAGTTGATAATTGGCTCAAACAGTTTTCCAATTTTTATTTATTTGATTTTTTAAGCGTAAATTTTAGCATTTCTTTCCTATTTTTCTCTTTGCATTTATTTTTTTTCAACATTAAATAACGTAGTCCACATCAGGGGTTACATTGTATTCTACCCAGACAAAAATCTTCATTGAGTGACAATAACTCATATATTGAAGCGTACATCGACGGCAGTCTCGTTTAAGAGACAAAATTTGCTGTTTCAAGTTTTTTTTATATCTGGTATAGTTGTCAGAAAAACAAAAGTGGATAAAAAAAAAATGTTGGCAACAATTTATATACGGATTCAACTTATTTTGGCCGATTCGTTTATTTTTTAAATATTGTCTTATTGATCGGTTTTGTTATTTAAATATTTTTTTTTTCATTTACAATTGTCCTTGCAAAAGGCGCAAACAATGTGTTAAAATCAACCATGCGACTTATTTGAAGATTTAGCTGACCTTTGTTGTTGTTTAGAGACTTCAATCATTTAACTTGTGCGTAGATCGTATTTCCCCCTCAAAGAATTGTTCAAATTGTTTTTTAATGTATAGATAGCGTGAAACTCTCACTTCACCAGGCATCGGACATCCGAACAGCCTAACGGACGCCCCCCTTTAGCAAGGGTATACTGTCGGACGGGAGAAGTCTAGAGATGTCAATAATTATATACCCAAGTCAATCTTTTGGGTTTGAATAAAAGGAGATAAAGGTTAAAGGTATACATTAATGCGACAGCAACCCAACGACACAGATAAATCAAAACATTAAGAGTCAACATACAGTCTTTTTTAATAGAAAAATGCCCATACAGAATAATAAGCTCAAAATCGCCCTATGACTAAAAAATACAGAGTTAATTTAATAATCTTGTTCAAAGATATCCCAACAGGCACATTTGATTTAATATTATTTACCGTCAAAGATATCCCAACAGACACAAGTGTTTGGTTGAAAAATATCACCTGCCTTTTTTTTAATTTCGATCGGTGGAAATTAAAGAAGGTTTAATATAAACCAGTAGAAGAAAAACACTTCACTATATAGTAACGGTATAATAATTGATGATAATGGATGCCGTCCATCGGCAAATTAAATGCATATTCAGGACGATAAAATGTAAATATAATAGGAATATTAACCCTGCTTTGTGCTGGACCGACAGGCTGAGCCGTATTTTTAACGTGTAGGGTCACAAGCTAACAGTTTGCAGGAAGAAAAGGCACCCTACCCGGACACATTTCTGACTCCGAGCAGACCAGTCTGTGCTCGTACTCTTAAATGCCGCGTGTTTAGCGTTGAAACAGCAAATGCCAATGTTAACGTCTTTGTTTGACCCGGTCGGGATTCGAAACAACGACCTCCCGCTATCGAGGCGAACACACTCCAACGGGACCAACCAGGAGAGCGGTGGTATAGAATATCATACAAAAAACTTAAGTACAATAAACAATACAGTTTCACAGAATGCTCACAGTAACTACAGCGAGCTAACACTATATAACGTTAAATGATATTGTAAACTACACGTAAATATCGATGGTCGACTTCAGAGTAGATTGCATGGATCAACGCTCTCTGCAAATTAAAAACTCTTGCACCAATTATTTGAGGGGTCCGGATGTGGCCAGCTGGTGCACGGCTAAATTTCTGTCCCTATTCAATTTACCCTTATTTTCCAGTGGTATTCCAAGTTTCACGTCCAACCTCACTGTCGACCTCCTATTCCAAGAACTACCTTTTGTATTTAAAATTTATGTGTTCTCGTCATGAACATGCATGAAATATTTGCCGCTGGACGTAAAGCAAACAACAATCAATCAACATCATAAATTATTCGATGTACTTAGTACCCGAAGACAAGAATTTGTAAAATGCTATAACGTATAATTTCCATTTAAATCACTCAATAATAGCGCAATTTTTTTTTTTTTTTTTTTTTTTTTTTTTTTTTTATTATTTTTGCATTTTACTACATAACTGAACACTTATAAAAACAAATTTAAATGCTTTTTTACTATGGTTCTTATTTACTGTTTTATTATGATTTATAATATATGATTATGTCAGGCAATTATAATAGTAAGAAAGGTAAAAGTTTTTTAAGGTGTTTATGCTTCATTTAGACGCGAAAAGGGAATGACGGACGACGAAAATAAAAGTGTTTGTTTTCATATAATACATTGTATTTCAATTTGAGAAGGATGATCAACTTTGCGAAAATATCTCATCTATACACGTTTTGATCGAGCCACTCAAACCTACATAACTTGTTGCTAAAGATGTGACATTTAGGCTATTTAATACGATTTTATTCTTTGAAGTTTACAGGCATAGTTTTTTTTAATTTAAAAAAACAGACAAAACAGGATTTATTAATTAATTGGACTGAACAGACCTCCTCACAAAAAGGGGTGTTCGAATCCCCTCGCCCTTCGGGCTCGGGGATCTCAACATCCCTTTTTGTTCGAAGGTCTTTTAATATCAATATCAACTTATCATTGAACTTTTACTATTACTAAAAAAGCGTACATCATTGCAGTCAAGCATCAATTGCATTACTGTTTAAGTAAACGTAAATACCATCAGTAGCAATTTTTTGGATTTTTCAGTGGGTGATATGAGAGTTTATCTTGTATCCTATGGAAAAGGAAGATCAGATTATATAAATGCAGTACAAGTGCCTGTAAGTTTTATAATCTTCTGTAATTTCCGTAATTTCGGTTATTTCTTTATAATATCGTTAAAACATCTCAGTCCGAACCCGTCTAAAATCCTGTCGTATCTGCTTTCTTTAAACTATCTGTTTTCTTGTTTGAAGCTAAACATAACAACTTTAACGGTGGTAATAATAATTATAATAATAAATTCTTTATTTAAAGAGGGGAACTCAATTAGACTTAGTCTAATTTTCATTTAGGTGGTATATATACATTGTACAATGGCTTGCACGACATTACCAAAATCAAACATAAAAAGCTGAAACAAGTAGAAAATACCAAATCACCTTCAGGTATCGCAATGCGGTACAAGTATACGTTCAACTGTCTCGCAAACTCAAACTATGTCCTAATAGATAATTTTTTTCATCTCATGTACGTAATGTATATGCATTAGATGTAAATAAGAAGTCCGTCTGTATGCATTATATCCTAATTCACTTACGTATAATATACATGATTATGTCACTTGTGTGTTTTTCTCTTATATTCCTCAAAAACGTTTTTGGCAGAAAAACCGGGAATAATGAAGAAATAACTCATAGGTGCTTGAATTTGTACTGATTTTAAAGGGCCAACCCATGGTAAAATCAAGAAATTCAAGTCCCCATGAATTATTTCTATTCTAATACAACAAGGTCGGCAATTCTTTGGGTCGAAGCGTAATAGGTGAAGACAAATATTTGCTGTTCCCGTAATTGAACACACTACTTGTATAAAGGTAAAGGACGAAGAAAACCAAATAAGTGACATGCTTAAATTATATATACTATAACATACTTAGATAGGTAAGGATGAAGTTAAATGATTACGAAAATTTCAGAAAATAGGCTTTCAACAAATTCGTATTATATCAATTGTTTATGATTCAATTTTTTTATGACTTTCACATTCGATAATTTTCCCGTACAATGCTAATGTTCTTACATCACAGTTAGAGTGATCGTTCAATGACGTCGTTTACGCCGATTTCCCTCGGGTTACTCATTCATAAAAAGCATATGACGTTGGTGTTTGATTTGAACAGTCCAATCAAATCATGACTTTGCCGATCAGCTGACATACAATATATTCGTATTTTATCACAGGTGTGTACTTTAAAAAGCGTTTGGAGAACGTCATATTAGAATATGAAACAACAAGCATGAAGGTTTTATCAAATACACATGGTAAGGATTGCGTTAGACCGAGGTAGGAAGGACGTGTGGAACTTAAAAGGCATAGCATCATATATAAGGTTTCTTTTTATAACATTGTGTAAAAAGACCACGGATACATATACATGTAGCGTGAAACTCAAGTGATACCAGTAAACCAATTTATAGAAAGGAAAATATACATTTTGTTTTAATTTGATATTATTTTATTTATTTTGGTTACATTTGTAATGGCCTATGGTCAAATGTTACAATTATATATTCCAGTCTTACACCAAGTTTGTTGGATACATTACCACACAACTACCATTACCAGATACTAAGGTAGATTTCTGGACAATGATACGGGACCACAGCTCTTCGACCATTGTACTGATTATTAACCACAAAAAAGAGGTACGTCATCAATTTTATACTAATCATTGAATCATAAATTAAGAGTAGTAGTATACTTGTTATTGGCATTGGTATTTGAATTTAATATATTTAGAGTATGCAATTCCTCCTCCTTTGAGTTACATAATGAAATTAATTGCCTCTGTTATTCTATAAAGTTAGTTGAGGTTAATATATATACACTTCTTAAAACCCTCTTGCTGCCGGAGGGACACATATGTCCATATGTTTACTTCTAATCATTGCTGTATCTCTTTCGGCAGTTTCCAATAAAATTCCGAAGATGGAACCGTATAATATTTTTCTTCAATGCGTCCCCAATGTAACGTAATTAGGGCGTGACATTATATATCGAATGACGTCATTGTTGGGCATGTTACGTCACAAACGTCCAGTTGTCGTTTTTTTCTGGCACACGAAATGCAACCATATAAAATGAGCGGCAACAAGAGGGTTAAAGGCGTTTGCTCATCACATTTTCTACGTTAAAGTCTGTTCCATCATGTCCGTATCTCTATCGTTATTTTTTTAAACTGTCTTTGTATTATTCCCTTAAAAACTGACTACATGTTCATAATTATAATATTCAAGGCTGACCTAGTGTACTCACAGTCGGATGATATAATAATCATTGGTCAATTCAGTATAAAGATATCGGCACGAAAATTAGAAGAAAATGACATCACAGAGGCAACCATTGTTCTCTCTAAAAAAGTAAGATATAACTACGATAGATTTTTTAATAATCAGACATGCAAATTGCCATAGCATCTAGGAAAAAAAGGATGTTTGCTTACATATTGTAACTACTTTCAAATTAAAATATTTCAAATTGTCAATACAAAACTGTTTCAACAAGTACTCTGAATAGTCTTATTATCTGAAAAAAGTATGATATATATTATAGTATGCAGGTCTTGTTTCTTGAATGACCTTCATCAGTATGTTCGAGGTCAAAAGTGGGGAACAAGGTTAAGGAATAGGAACCCAAAAAAATATAAAAAAGAACCACAACCGGAAATATATTATAGAAATGTAATTATGTTATAGGATGAAAAACCGAGACAAGTTGTGTTGTTTCAAGCTATATGTAGCAGTATACCTGACCCCGCTGTACTCTGTAAACTTGCTGACCTTATTTCAACACGTGCAACTATGTCAAATGATCCGATAACAGTAGTAAGCAGGTATGAAAAGAATTTACTCATTTGTTTCTAACGTGAAGGAGCTTTAAAAAACAATTTTGAAAATTTTCTTCTTTAATAGTTTAATTCATGAAACTAGTATATGAAAAGGATATTGAACTACTGGTAAACGATAACACTATTGGAAAGGCTAATATTGGCTCAGTGGTGAAAGTTAAAATACTGGATGAAATAATTTGCTGTAGATTCGAATATTAATCTCCTATTCATTCATATTGAGGCGATACCATACTCGAAAAACATGCAAAACTAATCATGATAAAATGAAAAGCATAGGACTGAAAACGATCACAGAGATTGCTGTATGAGGACATTGAAAATAAAAGGTATGGTTTACCGTTAATTTAGAGTGCAGTAGAACTCGGTTTTTATTGTCCTTTGAACTTTAGCTATCATTAGTACAGCTGCAAATATACTACTATATTTCTTAACTTATGTTACATTTGTAATTGATTTTTTGTTAACGCAGTGACGGTGCCAGGAATTGTGGACTGTTCTGTGCTTTCACTAATGCCGTGTCAAGCATGCAGATTGATAACAATGCAGATATCTTCCAACTTGTGACACTTCTACAATTGAGACGTCCCGAGTTCTTCACAGACTTTGTAAGTACAAACAACGAGTTACACACTTAATTACTGACGGTGACTGACTAACGATTCATTAATGTATCATAGTTGTATTTTTGTTTTTTAAACCTTCTATCACAATTTGACATATTTTGATCAATTTATTATTTTTTTTATTTTGTGAGCTTACATATAGAATAAGAAGATGTAGTATGATTACTAATAATTCCAACATAGTCAAAATGAAGTCAATTTAAGCAACTCTAGGTCACCGTACTGCCTTCAGATGAGCAATACCAATACCGTATAGTAGGCTATAAAAGTCCCCGACATGAACAAATGGAAACCATTAGAATGGAAAAACCAACGGCCTGTTTTATAACAAAACAATAAACGAAAAATATATTCAACAGACAGCACCTATCGACAACCACTGAATTACAGGCTCCTGACTTGGGACAGACACATATATAATGTGGTGGCGTTTTGTTTAGCTCTCAACCCTCACCCGAACCTAGGACAATGGTGAAACAGCACAACAGAAGAACAAACTGTACAATTTAGTTTGAAATGTCTTGACTCATCTGATCGGCAAGAAGCTTAAATAAACAAACATAAAGACAAAAGACATATAGTGCCGCTCAATCGTACACGGAGATACTAAAAGATATTTCTAAGTCAATAACAATGAATTTAGATGAATGGCGTCATTAATAGTCTACGAAAAGCATGACGTTATGCAATACCAAACTATAAGTACATAATATCGACTGGATTTAAGGCCAAAAGTTTTCATAGATGTATAGCAATACATTTTTAGTTATGTTTAAATATTCAAATACATTTTCAATATAGGAAAAAATAATAATAACAATATTCAAAGATCGTACTACGGTGTTACTGTGTTGAATTGCTATCCTTTAAGAATAAGTATATTCAAACAATCAATGAGTTTACGTTGATACTATCTAAATCTATTGGCTTTATTAACAACATTACCGTAAATATTAGGATTTGATATCCCTTTTTTGATAAGCATTCTACAGTTACACTTGACTTGAAATAAAACACCACCCCAGTAGGTACTCTGTCCGTTGAATTCACGTTTTTTGTTTATTGATAATGTGACTATTGGTATATACTGGAAAAAGTACATATACATTGTTTTTTTTTGAAAATTCAACAACGTGACCAAAAAGGGAAAAGATACAAAGTTTGCAATCAAAAACCATAAATTGAAGTTAAGTGAACAACACACTGATCAAAAGAGGAAAATTCCAGTCGACAAGAAACTAAATACTATGCAAAAACAAACAAGCACATAGAAAACTGGGGATGAACTCAGATACTCTAAAACTACCTGATCAATTAGTGAAAACCGTTGTGTCGATCATGTCTTGTCGCAGTCATCTGTCAAACATATATTCAACGTTTATAAAATCATTATTTTACATCATTATAATTTTTCCGTCATTATGAATAAATCATTATTTTTTTTTTTGGCAGGAGGAATACAAAAGATGTTATGAAGCTTTGCATGTTCACCTGGAATCTGCAAATGTTTATGCAAATTTTTAGTTTTAATCAAATGAATGTAAAGAATGAGAAGGAAACCTGTTGTACTGTTTCATTATCAATGATCTATTTGTAAATATTGCTACATACATTCTGCTTATGTTGTTTTTCTACAGCACAACTTTTTATAAATCAAGAAGCTGTTTATTTTCATTTGAATATTTTATACTCAATATATTTTTTCTTTCAGTTGTAATGGGAATTTTGTTAATCATAATGCATATAAACTGTAATTTTATTCTCTAAAATTGAATGTATTGTATACACCATCACAATGTTTAACTGACCAAATTTAAGTCAAGTCGTAAGCTAATGTTATCATAGACTCTTCAAGGTTTTAGATTATCGTAGACTATTCAAGGTTATCTTAGACGCTGCAATGTTATCGTAGACTCCTCAGTTTATCGTAGACACTTTAATGTTATCGTAGACTCTTCAAGGTTATAGTAGACTCTTCAAGGTTTTCATAGCGTCTTCAATGTTATCGTAGACACTTCAATGTTATCGTAGACACGTAAAAGTTGTCGAAGACACTTCAAGTTTATCGTCGACACTTCAAGGTGATCGTCGACTCTTCAAGGTTCTTAAGAAAGATCATTAGTCGTTGTTACTTTATTTTGACCTTGTTTGAATAGTTTTATTCCCATTGTCAATGTTACGATTTATGCGCAAAACATAATTTCAATGTTTATGTAAATATGTATTAGAGATCTAATTTTTATCATTTATTAAGTTTGATTTCGCTTAGAGTAAACTGTAAAATGCGAGGCTAATTATCTAAAATTTTTCTCAGAACATTATTTATTCTAATCAAATACGCCAGATCACCATTTGATGCATGGAAAAGCTACATTACCGTGTATACATTACATAGAAGGACAATAGTATTAGCTTAGCACATTCTACTTTAAAACATAGCTATTCCATTTAGGCTTTATTTATATCCTGAGTCCATTCAACATATTCTAATTGTCTATAGAATCCAATTATGCAAGTCATCTATTTCTTTCTTATATACTTTAAATGCTTCGATATTTCTGAGAACTTGGTTAAGTGGATCCGATTTCAAATTGAAGCTGTCATTTTGTCATCTTAGTCAACACATCTAAGAATTTAACATATTTAAAGTAACGTGGAAAGTATTTGCATTTCAGCAACTGTTACAATCTTTCAGTATTTTGATCATTAATGAAAGGCATAGTTTTGTTCACATATACACAGATACACATTCTAATATTCATGAAAACTTGCATCGGTTATCGCTAAATGTTAATGGGTCGTTTTAAAAAATATTGCTTGACTTCTTAAAAAAAAAACCATCTGAGTGACACTTTAATTAATTTTTTTATGAAACACTGTTGCACTTGCGATAAAATCATATTTTATTCCATTGGCATCTTTTGCAAGATTATGTTACTACATTTTTACTTTTGATAATATTTCAACTATAATTTATATAACGACAGAATCCGATTAATTTTTTTTATTTTGGCTCCAAATCAGTAATATTCCGATGGAAAGACAACTCATAATTAGACATGAAATCATAGTCACTTTTCTTTGAAATGACTTAATCATAAGTTACAGAGTCATTCCAATGGGCCGTAATTATCTTACCGTAATGTTTGAATCTGAGTACGAAGTTAAAAGCACAAGTTACGTGAATTGTAATCGACATATTGATCATAGGGTAAGGTGAAAACTATCTACTTGTAATATAAAAGTAAGAGCACCACTTATCATAATTGAAGCTAAGACCTAGTTGTAAGTTGTGAACTGGTTTGTTGGAATACCGAGCTAGTGCAACGATAAAGTTAACTCTATATACTGTGTCGATGTACAGGTATATATAACGCAAAATAAAAGAACCACTATATATTCAATAGAGTTCCTGAATGACAGCATTCATTATACGTATGCTTCTATATGTATGGTGTATATTATCTATATACTATCTACAACTGCATTTTATTGTAAACCTTGCTTTTAACATGTTTTATCCAGTATATAATTGGTTTTATTTCGTTTTCTTTTACTGTGATAGCTTTTAATAAAATTTGCTTTCGCTTATTTCAATTATTTATTTCCCTATTTAAACATTATTGTCAAAATATGAGTTTCATGAACATTGGCATGGAATAATCTTTTAAACTGTATTGAGTAGGCGATGACGAAAAACACCTGATTTTTCTCCCTCTATAGAATAACAAATATCTATTAGAGATCAAATGTTGTATCTGTTTGCAATTATAGCTCTCCATACAGCCTTCAACAATGAGCAAAATTCATACCACATAGAATGGTATAAAGGTCTCCTACATAAAACAATGTTAAAAAATTCAAATAAGAAAACTAACTTCATAATTCATGTACACAACAACAAACGAAAAACAGTGACAAATGACAACCACTAACTTACTGGTTCCTGACGTGGGGCCGTCATATACATAATGGAGCTGCTTAAACATGCTTTCCGGTGGCCAACCATCACCCCTTACGTGGAACTGTGATGTCACAGCACCACATTAGAACAAACTGTTAAGATTATTTGAAAAGGGCTTGAAAGATAAGATCGAAACAAAGCAAAACAAACAACTACAAAAACACTAAAGACAAAAAAGTACCGATCTGAGAGTACTCGCAGTTACTGAAAGCAAGTTCCAAGAATAGGAATATCTATTCTTTTTTTATGCCCCACCTAGGGGCATTATGTATTTCAGTCTGTGCGTCCGTTCGTTCGTCCGCATGTTCCGCTTCAGGTTAAAGTTTTTGGTCCAAGTATTTTTGATGAAGTTGAAGTCCAATCAACTTGAAACTTAGTACACATGTTGCCTTTGATATGATCTTTCTAATTTTAATGCCAAATTATAGTTTTGACCCCAATTTAACAGTAAACTGAATATAGAAAATGATAGTGCGAGTGGGCAGGTTAAAGTTTTGGTCATAGTAGTTTTTGATGAAGTTGAAGTCCAATCAACTTGAAACTTAGTACACATGTTCCCTATGATATGATCTTTCTAATTTTAATGCTAAATTAGAGTTTTGACCCCAATTTTACAGTCAACTGAAAATGATAGTGCGAGTGGGGCATTCGTGTACTATGGACACATTCTAGTTTCTTTATATATCACATATATTAATTGTTGTGATTGAACATTTCTTCTTTGGATTAATCTTCATCAGACAGCTTTTTCAAATATTCAGTTATTTCATCTTTGTTTATTAAATCTTTTAACTTTTAGTGCTTTTGATGAAATATATTCCATAATTTTTATTTGTTTTTATTATCATTTGATTAAAAAATTAACATACCAGAACCGATGATAAGAACAGAGATCCAGAGGCGGTTATCTATCATCCTTGATTATCAAGATTCAGAGCAAACACAAAAAAGATGTTTTATACGGTGTGAAGTATCGTACAATATATCAGGTGACACTAGGGGAAATAAGCACAACTTATACAGTTTCAACTGGTTATGATTGGTTTCATATCAAGATTGACTTGACATATATACTTACCGTATAATTGGAAGAAATGTATATTTGATTCATTTGACTCAATTCCGGGTTTTGTCTTTTTTATTTAGATTTTTGTTTAATTTTCCTAAAAACAAGTGAAGGACAAGATGTATTTAAGGTTGCAGTTGCCTCTCTGATAAAAAGTCTATTTGTATATATATTTGACATTTCACACCTCTTTGATTTATTAGGTTTGGGAATTACTGTGGTTCAGTAGGTTTCTGCTCTTAAACTATCTTGCTTCATCTTTGATAAATGCCTTTTCGACACTGATCCTATGCTATAGAGTATGTTGCGGTTATTTTGTTTGTTCTACTATTAATTTGGTGAAATTAATCTTGTATTTGGTTGGGGGTCTTATATACTTGTTTAAGAACTCCATGCTGTGATATTCCTAGTAAGGATTCGTTATGCCAATGTTATTTTTTTATTTTTTAGATATGAGTATTGTTGATATATTCAGATCGATCACTAACTCAACCTTAGGGCGTGTTTTCAGTTAAAGATTTGTACAAAGTCTTTTCATTAATGATGGTTATGATTTATGCTTTTTAGCTCACCTGGCCCGAAGGGCCAAGTGAGCTTTTCTCATCACTTGGCGTCCGTCGTCTGTCGTCCGTCGTCGTCCGGCGTCGTCCGTCGTCGGCGTTAACTTTTTACATTTTGAACTTCTTCTAGACAACCACTGAATGGAATGAAACCAAACATGGCATGAATGTTCCTTATGAGGTGCTGACCAAGTGTTGTTACTTTGTAGGGGATCCATCATCCAAGATGGCCGCCAGCGGGGGACTTAGTTTAACATAGGACCCTATGGGAAATACATACAAATGTCTTCTTTTAGAGAACCACTGAATGGAATGAAACCAAACATGGTATGAATGTTCCTTATGAGGTGCTGACCGAGTGTTGTTACTTTGAAGCCGATCCATAATCCAAGATGGCCGCCAGCGGGGGACTTAGTTTAACATGGGACCCTATGTGAAATACATACAAGTGTCTTCTTTTAGAGAACCACTGAATGGAATGAAACCAAACATTATATGAATGTTCCTTATGAGGTGCTGACCGAGTGTTGTTACTTTGAATCCGATCCATAATCCAAGATGGCCGCCAGCGGGGGACTTAGTTTAAGATGGGACCCTAAGGGAAATACATACAAATGTCTTCTTTTAGAGAACCACTGAATGGAATGAAACCAAACATGGCATGAATGTTTCTTATGAGGTGCTGACTGAGTGTTGTTACATTGAAGCCGATCCATAATCCAAGATGGCCGCCTGCAGGGGACTTAGTTTAAGATAGGACCCTATGAGAAATACATACAAATGTCTTCTTTTAGAGAACCACTGAATGGAATGAAACCAAACATGGCATGAATGTTCCTTATGAGGTGCTGACCGAGTGTTGCCACTTTGAAACCGATCCATAATCCAAGATGGCCGCCAGCGGGGGACTTTGTTTAACATGGGACCCTATGGGAAATACATACAAACGTCTTCTTTTAGAGAACCACTGAATGGAATGAAACCAAACATGGTATGAATGTTCCTTATGAGGTGCTGACCAAGTGTTGTTACTTTGAAGCTGATCCATCATCCAAGATGGCAGCCAGCGGGGGACTTAGTTTAACATAGGACCCTATAGGAAATACACACAAATGTCTTCTTTTAGAGAACCACTGAATGCAATGAAACCAAACATGGCATGAATGTTCCTTATGAGGTGCTGACCAAGTGTTGTTACTATGAAGCCGATCCATAATCTAAGATGGCCGCCAGCGGAGGACTTAGTTTAACATAGGACCCTATAAGAAATACGTACAAATGTTTTCTTTTAGAGAACCATTGAATGGAATGAAACCAAACATAGCATGCATGTTCCTTTTGAGGTGCTGACCAAGTGTTGTTACTTTTAAGATGATCCTTCATCCATGATGGCTGCCAGATGGGTACAATGTTTAACAAAGGACCCTATGGACAATACATACAAATGTCTTCTTTTAGAGAACCACATACTGAATGGATTGAAACCAAACATGGCATGAATGTTCCTTATGAGGTGCTGACTAAGTTTTGCTACTTTGAAGCTGATCCTTCATCCATGATGGCCGCCAATGGGGGGGGGGGCTTCCTTTAACATAAGACCCTATTGGAAATACATACAAATGCTTCTTCTAGAGGTGCACTGAATGGAATGAAACAAAAACATGGCATTAATGTTTCTTATGAGGTGCTGATTAAGTGTTGCTTCTTTGTTGCCGATTTACTGTTAAAGATGGCCACCAGGATGTTTTATTAAATTACAGGACCAATATTAAACCAAATTTGGCCTCACTCATTATTAGGGCATCTGTTATGATTTTAATCTATTTTCACATGATTTCCAAAACCAAAGTAGAATCAGGTGAGCGACACAGGCTCTTGAGAGCCTCTAGTTATTCTTTGTTAAGATTCTTGTTTATGAATTTTCGATCTTATTGATGTATATGTCATTTTCATTTTTTTACCCTAAACGTGAAATGTTCGGAATCAAAGGCCTTATTGCCTGAATATGTATTTATACTTTTGGATTTTAAACATCTGGAACCTATAAGCACACAAATAACTAAAACTGTTATAGGGCTGTGTAGCCTGAAGAAGTTTTAATCTTAAGCTTTTTAAATTTCACATTCACCATCGTATGTTATATAATACGTATACTTACAAAGGATAACAAAAATAAACACGATCCACCATTTCTTGGATCTTTTGAAAAAAGACATACTTTCAAAGAAAAACAAAAACAAAAACACATGGTTTAGATTAAATCGCCGGTGTCGAAGCAATATTTACTGTGTGATTGACACCTTTTTTATGTATTTTTGTCATATAGCTCTTCAACTGTTTCGGTACTTATACATCCCTCGGATTTCAAATGTTTGGCTTTGAGCGTTACTGATGAAGGTAAATCCAGAAAAAACACTTCGGACGCATGAAATTATTATACGTGTTGTTTTCAATTTTTTTCATGAGTAACTTTTCATCAGAAGTGATAAAAAACGAGTACTGAACTGTGTGGGTAAAATCTTTGATGACTTACTTCGAATCGGTAATGATATCAAACCAGTAATTGAACTGTGTGAATGACGTCTTAAGGAGCACTTTTTAATGAAAAGTGATGTCAAGCCAGTAATTAAGTGTGTGGATGACTTCTTTGGGAACTTTCAGAAATAATATCAAACGAGAAATGAACTGAGCGAATGACACTTCTGGGGAGAACGTTTTCACCAGAAGTTATATCAAATCAGTGAGAAACTGTGTGGATGACACCTTTTTGATTATTTTTCATCAAAAGTGATTTCGAACCATTAATGAAGTGTATAAATGCCATTTTGCCGGAATATTTTTGCATCAGAATTGATATCAAACCGGCGATCAGGAGTTACTTTTCACCTGGAGTGATATAACACCGGTGACGGGGAGTTACTTTTAACCAAATGTGATATCAAACAAGTCATGGAGAGTTACTTTTCATTAGAAGCAATTTAAAGCATTGATGAAAATCCAA